GGAAGGTGTCTGGCAGCAGAGGAACGAACAAACTCCTCCCTTCCCCTCTCCATCGAACCTACAGCCATTCCCCCTTTGAAACCTCAGAGGGGCCGCCTCACACCAGCTCTCTGCTCTTTCCCTCCAGCACCTCTCAGACATCCTTCTACCGGGTCCTGCTGGGGGCGCGGCAGTTGGTGAAGCCGGGACCACACGCCATATATTCACGCGTGAAGCGGGTGGAAAGCAACCCCCTGTACCAGGGCATGGCCTCCAGTGCCGATGTGGCCCTGGTGGAGCTGGAGGCACCTGTGACCTTCACCAATTACATCCTCCCCGTGTGCATGCCTGACTCCTCGGTCATCTTTGCGTCGGGCATGGAATGCTGGGCCACCGGCTGGGGAAGCCCCAGTGAGCAAGGTAACACGGCAGGATCAGGGAAGAATGGGGGACACGCCACAGAGGAGGTCTCAGGCAGGTGAGGGCCACTCTGAACCAACAATCTTTTTCTGTGGACACTGGTACACATGGTCTCCACTCCAATGGGAGACGTTGGTATGGGAAAGGGACAGCAGATGCAGGAGGAGGCATGGGGAAGTGGAGAGACAAAAGGAAGGACCCAGCCTGGTGCATGAATAGGGGAGGAGAATTCTGTTTCACAAAGCCCTAAGTGAGGAGAGGTCTAAACCCAAGCACAAAATAAGGTGGGACGGAGCTGTGCTTCTCAAGGACTGTCCGCTGAGCTGAGGCTGTTTGCCCCTCCCCAGACCGCTTGCCTAACCCTCGAATCCTCCAGAAACTCGCCATGCCCATCATTGACACGCCCAAGTGTAACCTACTCTACAGCAAAGACGCAGAGTATGGCCTTCAGGTGAAAACCATCAAGGAAGACATGCTGTGTGCTGGCTTCGCTGAGGGCAAGAAGGACGCCTGCAAGGTAGGGGCTGGAATAGGCTGTGATGGAGGCTGAGCCCAGGCCTAGGTCAAGGTGAGAGCCAGCCCGGCCCCATGAGGCCCGCTAGGCGGGTCCGTAGTCCAGACCACAGATGTGCAGTCAGCCCAGAAAGGCAGATTCCTGTTTCCCACCCAGAGGTGTCAGTAGGTCTGCAGTGGGACTCAGGAAAATGCAATTTCAACATACTGCTCTGAGCAGGTGGACTGAGATGCTAGAGAAATGGGCAGCCCAGGCCAAAAAAGGGCCAGCCACTGGGGTGAGGGGAGCTGGGCAGGGACATTCTTAGGGAGGAAAGGGGGGAGGGGGTGACGGGAGGAAAACAGGTGTGTGTGCTTGTGTACCTGTTGGCTCTCAGGCCCGCATGGTTTCTGATGGTACCTCTGCTGTCCCTGCAGGGCGACTCAGGGGGGCCTCTGGTGTGCCTTGTGGACCAGCTGTGGCTACAGGCTGGCGTGATCAGCTGGGGTGAGGGCTGTGCCCGCCGGAACCGCCCAGGTGTCTACATCCGGGTTACCTCCCACTATGACTGGATCCACCAGATCATCCCGGAACTGCATTTTCAGAAGGCCAGGTCTGGCGGCCAGAAGCAGGGGCCCCGTGTCCAGCAGCCCCGCACGCAAAACTTTGCACCCTGCCTGGTGGCCCACACTGCCCTCCTGGTCCTCATGGCCCTACTCACCTGCTTCTGAGAACCTGCTCAGGCAGGCAGGGGAGTGTAACCCCTGGAGCCCACATGTACATTTGTAAATAGCCATTTCTCTCTTCTTTCAAATGCCAGTTATTTTTATTTATGTTCACCCTCCAATAAAAACCTAACCTCAGTACCAGCTGCCAGGAATGGGCCCTTAGGGCAAGAGGGGAGTGGAGAGGTACCTGTGGGGAGGAGCACTGAGGAGTGTGAGTTGGGTGGGGGTGTGTGGAGGGCAAGGCTTCCGGTGAGAAAGGAGCTGCCCCAGGGCACCCTGGGCTACACACGAGGGGCAGCAACCAAACCAGCAGGAAGAATGGGGGCCTGGCAGCAGGGCCTGAAGAGAGGGCTTTGGGGGACATGGGGGACTCACAGCCCACACTCTCTATTTCTGAATCACCCCAAGACTTTTTCAAATAACATCAGGGGTGATGCCCCCACAACCATACTTTCCTACCCAGTGGGGAGTAGGTAGGGGCCCCTCCAGGAGCTCCCTGCTCTCCAGGTTCCCCTTGACCCCAGCTCCTTTTCCTCCACCTCCTCCCTGGTGAGTCCAAAGCTGCAGGAGGAGGCTGGATTTGGGGGCCATATCCACCAGGAGACTCGGGGCCCTCTGGTGTGCCTTGTGGGCCAGTTGTGGCTGCAGGCTGGGGTGAGGGTTGTGTCTGCCAGAAGCGCCCAGGTGTCTACATCCGGGTTACCTCCCATTATAACTGGTTCATCAGATCATCCCGGAACTGCAGTCTCAGCAGGCCAGGTCGGGCGGCAGAAGACCTGCCCCCTCTTCAGCGCTCCCTGCTGTAGCTTGTCAAAACCAGGAATCCAGCACAAACAGGTCTCTGGAGCTCTGGCCCGCAGAGTGCTCAGGCCCTGCCAGGATGGCATGCTTACCCATCGGGCAACGTTAGGTTCGCAGGCTGGTTCACACAGGTCCACAAAGGCCTCTTCTGTGGCCAGGGCCAGCTCTCCCCCACATGTAGACTGACTCTCAAAAGGTGCTTGGGCTTACCTGCCGTGATCAGCAATAATGAACTGGATGAGACTCCTAGGAGGGCCTTGCACACACATATAACCACATACCCATGCACACACTCCCTAGCACACCACAGATACACATTCATGCAGACATGTGTGCATGTCTCCACTCACAGATGTTCATATTTATGCACACATGCTCACTAGTACGTAACATGCACACACCCATGCACAAGGAAACACCCACACATATGCAAGCCCATGCACACACCTGTGTACACACAGGCAGAGCTTTCCACCTGGTACCATGAAGAAAGCGGGCCTGGATATTTATGGGATGAATCAGCAGGAACTTAGCAAGCACCTGCTGTGAACTGTGCCTGGGGACAGAGTGGGAACAAACACTTAACTCCTCTCCGTGTTCTACTTTGCTGGGCACATCCCTGCCTGCAGGCAGGCAGGCCCAGAGGTGCAACTGGCAGAGGCTCATGGTGGCCCCACTCCTCTGCTGGCTGCTCTGGACTCTCTGAGGACTGGACTGTCTGCTACACTCCTTCTCTAGACCAGAGATGGGCTCTCAGTCCCTCAGGGGCCAACAGGTACACCAAGGCCCAGGCTACAGGTATCCTGAGGGCAGCCATAGAAACAAGTTCTGGATCCTCCCGGCTGGAACCAGGGTCTGGCCTGGGTCCCGCAGCCTTGGAGAAAGGCCTGGCTGGCCCCTCTCCCTAGTTCTGGAGGTATTAAAAAGCTTCATGCCAAGAGCGGAGGATGGGAGCAGAGCAGTGTCTGAGCAGCGCTCCCAGCTTCCTCTTCTTTCTGCACCTCGCTCTCATGGCCTGCCCGCCCTGCCCCCCTGCTGCCTGCTCATCCCCCAAAACAACCCCCACCATGTCCACCTCAGCGAGTTCCACTTGAACAAAGCATCAGGCAGGTGTACGTGTCCCTGCCTCAGGGTGATACGTCAAGCTGTGTACATCTGGATTGATGGTACCGGAGAAGGACTGCAATGCAAGACCCGAACCCTGACAGTGAGCCGGAGCACGAAGAGTTGCTGAGTGGAACTTTGATGGCTTTAGTACTGACGTCTGAAGGCTCCAACATGACATGTATCTCGTACCTGCTGCCATGCTTCTGCGAGGACCCCAACAAGCTGGTGTTCTGTGAAGTCTTAAAGTACAACTGCACCAGGCCCGGAGCAGCCGGGTTGGGTGCAGCCAGGCCTGGAGCAGCAGCTGCCAGGCTGGGAGCAGCCTGGCCCGGAGTGGCCGGGCCCGGAGCAGCCAGGCCCAGAGCAGCCGGGTAGGGTGCGGCCAGGCCCAGAGCAGCAGCAGCCAAGCCCGGAGCAACCAGGTTGGGAGCGGCAGTGGCCAGACCCGGCGCAAATGGTAGTGGAACGGACCAGAGCAACAGAGGCCAGGCCCGTAGCAGCCAGGCCTGGAACAGCTCACTCCCCGCCTGCCCCTGCCCCACTGCTGCCTCTCAGACATGGCTGGAAACTTTTGCAGGAACTTGAGGGCCTGCTGAATCAAGAGATGAAGGCTTAGATCTGGATGTGTTGAGTTAGTTTAGGACTGGGGTGTTGATCTGTGAGTGCCTTGTGCGAGGCCTGGATGAGGTTGGTTGACCTATTTGGAAATGTCTTTTGTGTGAAGTGTATCATTGGGCATGTGGAGGTATTATTGATATGAGAAAATGCTAAGTAACTGATTTACTATCTGAAAAGGGATTTACTATCAGGGAAAGGGAGGGAGGAAGAGACTGAACATAAACTGTGCACCTATGGATGAGGACAATGGGGGAGGGGAAGGGGGCGGAGGGTGGGGTGGGAACCTGGTGGAGGGGGGAAGAAATGAGGAACCTTTGTAATAATATGAACAATAAAGATTGATTTTAAAAATTAATTAATTAATTAATTAATTAATTTAAAAAAAAAAAAAAAGTACAACTGCAAACCTGCAGAGACCGACTTAAGATATACCTGCACACGGATAATGGACATGATGAGCAATCAGCATCCCTGGTTTGGAATGGAGCAGGAATATGCTCCCATGGGCACAGATGAGCATCCTTTGGGTAGGCCTTCCAATGGCTTCCCTGGACCCCAAAGTCCATACTACTGCAGCATGGGGGCAGACAGCGCCTATGGCAGGAACACTGTGGAGGCTCACTCCCAGGCCTGCTTGTATGACGGCACCAAGATCACAGGGACAAATGCCGAGGTCATGCCCGCTCAGTGGGCATTCCAGATAGAACCCCGTGAAGGAATCGACATGGGAGATCATCTCTGGGTGTTTCATCTTGCACCGAGTGTATGAAGACTTTGGAGTGACCATAACCTTTGGTCCCAAGCCCATTCCTGGAAACTAGAATGACGCAGGCTGCCACACCAACTTCAGCACCATGGCCATGCGAGAGGAGACCGGTCTGAAGTACACTGAGGAGTCGATCAAGAGGCTGAGCAGGCAGCACCAGTGCCACATCCGAGCTACAATCCAAGGGGGGCCGGGACCATGCCCCCTTTATGAAACCTCCAATATCAACCACTTCTCCGCCAGCATCCACACTCCCCGGGCTGGGGGCCAGGAGTATTTTGAAGGAGGGCATCCCTCTGCCCACTGTGACCCCTTCACAGTGACAGACGCCCTCATCCGCATGTGTCTTCTCAACGGAACAGGCGACAAGTCCTTCCAGAACAAAAACTAAGTGGACTGGACTCGCAACCATCCAGCTCCTAATTACCTCATCCCACTCGCACCTCGATCGTCGTAACAAATATAACTCAAGGGCAGAATATCAAGGTCTTTTTTAATTCCTCCTGCCCAGTTAATGTCTCTTGCTTTCTTTGGCCGGGTTAGAGGGTCAAGATCTTAGTCACTTCACACACATACTTCCTTCCCCCCCATCACTGAAGCTTTCTAGTGTGTTAGTGGCGGGGAAACATAACCATTGCTTCACTTAACCAGGTGTTTGTCCAACAGGCGTAGCTGTGTGGACAGTGAGCACAGTATTTGCGAAGGAGGGGAGGACATTTTTCTTCTTGGAGGTAACTGAAGGGGGTAGGAGTGCTGGGCTTGCTCTGTGGTTAGGTTAGATATTCCCTTTTAAGAAATGGAACTAAGAAGTTCCATTTCTTAAAAGGTTATAACAACCTTTTTATTTTTTAAATTGATTTCAGAGAGGAAGAGAGAGGGAGAGAGATAAACATCAATAATGAGAATCATTGATCAGCTGCCTCCTGCAAGCCCCCTACTGGGGATGGAGTCCAAAACCCGGGCATGTGCCCTTGACTGGAATCGAACCTGGGATCCTTCAGGTCACCGGCCGACGCTCTATCCACCTAGCCAAGCAGGCCAGGGCATAACCAGCTTTCTAATGAAAATGAGAATTAGGAAAGGTGGGGGGCAGCAGGCAGGAAAATGCCCTCTTACCTGCCATCTGTGACCCATTTGCAGTGATCTGCTCCCCTGACGTGGAGCTAAGTGCCCTCACTGGAAGGCAAGCTCGGCATAAAGGGGCAGGACGGGTAGCCCTACCTCCAAAGAAAAAGTTCTCATTGCTTGGCCCTCCGTTTATAACACAAATCAGAGTAGTGTTTTTTATATTTAAATGCAAACATTAAAAAATCCCATATACGGGTGTGCGGATGTGTGTGCTTTTTCTAAAGGAGAAAACCCGCTCTGGTCACTGGGAGCCACATTTGAGGGAAGTAGTCTGGTTAGAAATAAGGCATTCCTTTTTGAGGTGAGTGAGGGTGGTGTTGCTTGAGAAGTTGGCTGTTGGGGCTCTTAAACTCTCACTACCATGTAAGGGTATCTCTGTGCCCTGCCTGCCTCGCTGGACACGGCTGGCTAACAGGAGCCAGGAGCAGCAGTCATCCGAGCTCCATGGCTTTGGTCTAGACACAGATGTGCACAGGGGTTTAGAACCATGAGTTGGCTGGTCAACTTGAGCCTGTATGTTACTGACAAGGGGGTATTGGGTTATTTTCTGGGGGACTAGTATGTCACTAAAACAGGCCTTTTGATAAACTAAAAAAAAATGTTAAGCAAAAGCAATTTAGATTTTAATCCTATTTGTAGGGATTTGAAATCTTTTGTTTAACAGAATTGCTTGTTTGCTCCCACTGTCTCCTTCCTGTCTGCTCTGAAAGGGGAGGAGGACAGGACTGGGGGTAAACACTTGTCATTTTGTCTCCTGGTGTCTGTTCTGAGTGTGAAATATTCCTTCTCGGTGGTTGAGCATTGACCTATGAAACAAGAGGTCACGGTTCGATTCCCGGTCAGGGCACATGCCCGGGTTTCAATCCCCAGCAGGAGGTGCGCAGGAGGCAGCCGATCAGATTCTCTCTCATCACTGATGTTTCTCTCTCTCTCCTCCCATCATCTCTGAAATCAATAAAAACATTAAAAAAAAAAAAAAAAAAGAACGCTTCAGGCCCTGTGATTAGAGATTATGTGGTCTCTGCAGCCCCTGTGGGGAGGCCAGAATGAAGCCTCACTGCATGGGGATGAGCAAAGACCTCTCAAAGGACTTGCCACCCTCTCTCCGCCTCCTCCAGCCGCTGTCCCGGCTTTCTTCCCATTAACACCCCCTCCCGTTCTACCGCAGGGCAGGGGTCTGGCCAATGGGGAGGAGGGCACAGGTGGCAGGCACCCTAACCTCCAGGGACACCACGTCCAGTTGGGCTGGGAGGGCGAGTCTGGAGTCCTGGGTGGGGTCCCTGAGACAGCCAAGGTGGTGGCCAGCATATGACCTAGGGCACAGTTCCCCCAGCCCTGGGCTCCCCCACACTGTCCCCACCCAGACCCAGAGCAGATGCCCAGCCAGAGGGCTGTGGAGGGGAAAGGCAAATACTCTTGGAGAGACCAGGAGAGTAAAAGGGAAAGCAGATTTATTTCATGCCTTTCACAGCTCACCGCACACTTTGGTTGTGATCGGAGGTTAAGGAGAGACGTGCCCCCATCTGTCACCAGTCCCCTTTCCCACCCTTGGCAGGGGCATGGCTCTGACACAACTTTCCACACTGTCTCCAAGCAGGACCTCAAGAGCCATCTGCCAAGGGGTGTGCGGCAGTACCAGGTCTAGGTCGGTAGCAGGAAGAACGTTCCGGAGAACCGGAGACTGTCTGCTGCTCCACAGGGGGCTGAGGGGAGCAGGCCCAACCCAGGGCAGGAACCACATCAGCTTATAGGTGAAGCCAGAGTTGGGGGACCAGATACCCCTCCTGTGGGCCACAACCAGGCCCAGAAATCCCAAATATGCACACACCCCCACACATGGGCGTGCACACATAAGCATATGACCAGCCCACGGGAACCCCAGGAAGGAAAACTGCTGGGCCCATACCCAACCCCTTCTAGGCTCAAGGACCAGAAGTCAGCCATGGCTCTGATGTAGCAGGATGCCTGACTGTGTGCTAGGTCTGTGCTACCACCAAGAGCTCAGATGCTCAGGAGGCCTGGAGCAGGGGAAGACAAGAGAGGATACAAATCAAAGCCCCTAAAGCCAGAGCCTCACCTCTTCCATGGTGTGTGTGTGTGTGTGTGTGTGTGTGTGTGCATGTGTCAGATTTTCAGTCTGTCTCAGGGAAGCACAGCTCTGTGTGTGTGTGTGTGTGTGTGTGTGTGTGCATGTGTCAGATTTTCAGTCTGTCTCAGGGAAGCACAGCTCTGTGTGTGTGTGTGTGTGTGTGTGCATGTGTCAGATTTTCAGTCTGTCTCAGGGAAGCACAGCTGTGTGTGTGTGTGTGTGTGTGTGTGTGTGTGCATGTGTCAGATTTTCAGTCTGTCTCAGGGAAGCACAGCTCTGTGTGTGTGTGTGTGTGTGTGTGTGTGTGCATGTGTCAGATTTTCAGTCTGTCTCAGGGAAGCACAGCTGTGTGTGTGTGTGTGTGTGTGTGTGTGCATGTGTCAGATTTTCAGTCTGTCTCAGGGAAGCACAGCTCTGTGTGTGTGTGTGTGTGTGTGTGTGCATGTGTCAGATTTTCAGTCTGTCTCAGGGAAGCACAGCTCTGTGTGTGTGTGTGTGTGTGTGTGTGTGTGTGCATGTGTCAGACTTTCAGTCTGTCTCAGGGAAGCACAGCTCTGTGTGTGTGTGTGTGTGTGTGTGTGTGTGTCAGATTTTCAGTCTGTCTCAGGGAAGCACAGCTCTGTGTGTGTGTGTGTGTGTGTGTGTGTGCATGTGTCAGACTTTCAGTCTGTCTCAGGGAAGCACAGCTGTGTGTGTGTGTGTGTGTGTGTGTGTGTGTGCATGTGTCAGATTTTCAGTCTGTCTCAGGGAAGCACAGCTCTGTGTGTGTGTGTGTGTGTGTGTGTGTGTGTGCATGTGTCAGATTTTCAGTCTGTCTCAGGGAAGCACAGCTCTGTGTGTGTGTGTGTGTGTGTGCATGTGTCAGATTTTCAGTCTGTCTCAGGGAAGCACAGCTCTCTCTGTGTGTGTGTGTGTGTGTGTGTGTGCATGTGTCAGATTTTCAGTCTGTCTCAGGGAAGCACAGCTCTGTGTGTGTGTGTGTGTGTGTGTGTGTGTGTGTGTGCATGTGTCAGACTTTCAGTCTGTCTCAGGGAAGCACAGCTGTGTGTGTGTGTGTGTGTGTGCGTGTGTCAGATTTTCAGTCTGTCTCAGGGAAGCACAGCTCTGTGTGTGTGTGTGTGTGTGTGTGTGTGTGTGTGCGCGCATGTGTCAGATTTTCAGTCTGTCTCAGGGAAGCACAGCTCTGTGTGTGTGTGTGTGTGTGTGTGTGTGTGTGTGTGCATGTGTCAGATTTTCAGTCTGTCTCAGGGAAGCACAGCTCGCTCCAAAGGTGCCGGAGTGGAGCTGCTTCCACTGAAGGCGCATGTGGGCCTCCGCGCCCACAGGCTCCGTGGGACTAACAGCTGCCCTATAGGCTCAACTCTTTATTGCCTCTATAGGGCTGTGACCAGTGGGTAACAGGGCACCCGGCCGCCACTGCCACAAGCTCAGGGCAAGACAAAAGATGACAGAGGCACCTGTTGGGTGGACATAGGTAAACACAGGGGAGCGGAGGGGCAAAGCAAGGGGTCAAGGGGTGGTGCCTGCACCTGTGCAGAGCCCTGGAAGCTTCCAGACGTGGGCTCTGCAGGAGGCCCAGCCGCTGGGGATCCTCGAAGGGAATCTGCACACACCAAGCACCTGCCTTCCCCTCCTGTCCTGTCCTCTGGCTCCCCGGAGCTACAGGGCTGGAGGTCCCGAGGCTGCCCCTCCTCACACACCCCATGGCAGGCAGGCTGTGCTTGGAGGGTGAGGACCAAGGGGCAGGGCTCCCTCATCAACCTCAGGACCCAGATTAGATGGCTGTTTCCTTCCCAGTCCTTGGCTCAAACAGAAGACAATCTGAGGACTTTGACAGAGAGACCCAAGATACTCTGGAACCTCTCCCAAGTACCCACCTGGCAGAGGGCACTAGAGGCGTGTCCAGGTTTGCTGTTGACATCAGGGAGCTGCGTGATGCCAAGTGTAGCCTGTTTAGAAGGCAAACTCCTCAGAGCAGAACGTGGAGTCCTTTGCCATGTGCCGGGGCTGCACATGGAGCTATGGAAGGGTCCAGCCCCTAGGCAGGCAGTTCCTGCCCTCAGCCCGGGAAGGCAGAACAGGTCCCCACCCAGGGCCCTGGGGCCCCTGGCCAGGCTGGCCCCATACTTGGAAACAGGACAGACACTCCCTGGAAACAGGCTGGAAGTTTGGAATACCGGAGACTCCAAAACCTTGTGATGGAGGACATCCTATACAGCCTCAGGGAGAGAGCTCTCCACGGGACACAGGACAGGACTTTCCCTAAGGTATGGCGAGCACCCCAGGAGCTGTCACACAGCAGAGAGCAGTGGGAGCCAGAGCGACTGTGGGGAGGGTGGCATTGGGGGTGGGAGGCTCGCAGTGCCCAAGGACGTGAAGGAATCTGAAACTGGTGTTACTGGCCAGAGTAAGAGACCAGACAGGTGGGCACGCTAAACTTGAGGAGGCATCGGTCCTTTGAAATAAGTCACTCAGAGATGATCTTGTCCCCGGGCATGTGCTGCTAATCCCCTCGCCAGCCCCAGGCCGGACAGCGATAGACGGGTGGATGGCCCAGCTCCACGCTGGCCGCTAACCAAGCCCAGTGTTGCCAAGAGCTTTTGCATGCATTTTAAGATATTAACAGTTGCTCTGCTCATTCATAAATACACAGTTTTATTTGCTATTTTTAGGGGAAACTTAGGCATTAAACTGTCAGCTGATAAAATACGATACCTAAAAAAGTATAAAAGTATAAATATCCCCTTAGAATAAATTTTAGTGAATTAAGTCTTATTATCTTTAAATTAAAAAAAAATCCTATCTATAATGTCAAGGTCACAAATGAAACAACAACAAGCGGCCAGCAGTGCCCACAGGTACACCCCGAGGCCCGCAAAGGCCGCCCTCCCCCAAGGCCCCATGAGGAGAATGGGGCACGGGGCTAAATGCGCCCTATAGAAAGGCTGCTATAAATGGTTGAAGCCAAACGTTTAACAACATACAACAGACCTTACAAAAAGGAGTAGGTAAGTCCCAGGTGCTGGAGAACTTGGTTAATCAGGTTATTTATTGGCAAAGGAGAAGAGGGCACAGGTGAGATGCCTCCGGAAGCATTTGAACTTAGTCGTGCCAGAGCCTCTGGCCCGACACGTCAGCAGCCCCGGTGTCAGTGCGCACAGCTCCCGGGGAAGCCCTGGGTCAGGGGGCAGAGAGCTGCTTGTCCGAGCCAGGTCCCCCGGACTCTTAACGGTTTCCACGACCAGCTCAGAAAGGTCTGTTCTCAAAGCATGTGGAGAGCACGTTTTAGAGGAATCCTTGTAGTTCCAATGTCATGTAAGGTGGGCAGAGCCCATGTGTGGAGTCTCAAACATCCCAGAAAGATCGGAGAACTGCATAGTTATACAGAGAAAATGAAAGAGCCGGCAAGAAAGAGAAGTATTTGTGACGCGCTGTAAACATCCAATTTTCAACAGGACCCGGACGCTCAGCCCCGGGGCTGGTGGACAGGCCTCCCGCCTGGCCCCCGTCCCAGGCGAGACAAAGGCACTGACGGGCGCCAGCTCCTCCAGGAGCCCGTGGCTGGGAGGACAGAACAAAGCCTCCACCTCCCTTTCGAGGACTGGCAGATCGATCCAAAATGCAGCAACGCTTTCAGGCGTTTCTAAAGAGTGAAAACACTGGGAAGTCTATCCACACTGGAAATAAGAGATGCAAAGGTCTCGTCCCTGGAAAATACAAGTGAAGACGACTGTTCCAGGCCGGGTCAGGCAGGGGAACGTGGCCCTGAAGGAGGCCCGTCCTTGGGGTGGGGGTCCAGGAAGTAGTGAACATACAGAGGCCGCCTCTGTCAAAAGCTGCCCAAGGCTGTGAGAAACCAATCATACGTAGGCAGGACTCGGACCCGAGAACCAGGGCCTGGTGCGGTGTGGGTCACGGCAGACACCCGGAGCCCGGGGCCACAGCACTGCGCCCACTTCCTACTAGCAAGGCCAGGCTCCGTGACAGACTGTTTATGTAGCACCAAGAACGCCGTCCTCTGAATGGTCTTCGGTGATTAAAGGGGTGGGACAGGAGCATCCTTCCTCGGGCCTGTGTGGCACTTGGAAAAATTGAGCGAAGGCTCCCATAGCAACGCCCGCCCGGCCAGCACACCTCCTCCTAGTGGGGGATGCCCGGCCGTGGACAGCTGGTCACGTCTCTCACCACCCACCTCAGAGGCAAAAAAGGATTCACACCCAGATCTCTATAGAAAATTGTCAAAAGCAGGTTTCTTCTCACGGCCAAGCTTCCTCAACAAGGCGGTTCATTTCATCTTGGGAAAAGTAAAACGTTTCGTCTGCTGTCAGCGCTGTGCTCCTCACATCCTGGAACCTCGTTCTTGCAAAATCTGAAAATCCAAATGCAGAGAACGAGGACGTGAGTTTTGCACAGGGAGGTGGGAACTGTGCAGCCCTGGAACCAAGGCCCTGCTTCAGGAAGTGGAGCCCACAGACCCCAATCAGCCCACAGAGGGCTCGGCTCAGGGGCCAGAGGAAGCCAGCACCACAGCTAGGGGCTGAGAAGAGGCTGGGGCTCGGCCCAGCTGACCCTCAATGGAGGGACCTGGCTTGCATACCTCCTGGCCTACACGACGGGCTGGCCCCTCCAACTCTCTCGACCCTCCATCCCAACCTGACCTCAGAAAGGCATGCTCCCACCTCCATCAGGTGCCTCCCCTGGCTTCCTCAGGAGGTCTGAGGAGCACAGGCATGGCTGGAGGGGGGACAGCTCCTTAGCAGGCCCCATGGACTGCCAACAGCCGCCTCTCCCTCCCACTCTTGCTTGGCATTTCAGGGCCAGAACAGCCGTACACGCCACTCAGTCCTTCCCTCACCACTGGGTTCAATTGTGCATCCCACCCACTTCCAAATCGGACTAGGAGCTCCTCAAGGCCTGGTGCCACCTGGGGACATGCCTGTGCACTGGCAAATAAATGCCTATGGAGTTGAACCCCACACAGGTGAAGAGCTGAAACCACCCTGTGTCCCTAAGTGGAGCTTCAAGGCTGGCAAACACCGCTGTTTCCATACATCAAGTACGGCTGCTAAGCATCAGGTAACCAGGACAGATAGGCCCCACGCCCCAGCCTTGCCCATCCTAGCCAAGGCCAATGCTGTAAGATGACCCTCCCTAGGATCCCATCAGCAGTGTAAGAGCGAGCTACCCAGGGGCATTCTACACTTGAATTTCAAAGCCGAGAGATATGGCTTTGAGGACGCTGTGTGCTTCTGAGCCCTGGGGCTCAGGCACAACAAAGGGATATGCCCTGGAAGGGAGCCATTTCTGTTTGTGCCAGGCCCAGACCCAGACGGATGCTCTGGTCAGAGTGAGGTTCACTGCCTCCCAGCAAGACCCTGTAGAAGCAGGCAAAATTCTCAGGCTCCCATTGAGTGTCCTGCTGGCCCCCAACTCACCAGCCAGGGCACTGCCCCTAGTAGGCACAGCACAGTCCCTCAGTCATCTAGGGCTCATGTGATGACTCAAGAAAAGGCACAAGTTCTGGGGAGTTGCTCCAGCTGTCTCGATACCCCTCCACCCATACTGGTCCAGAGGTCTGGCCCCTTGAGTCTGAGAGCTTGGGCTGCGCAGACAGCCCATGCCGCAGCCCTTGCGAGGCATACCTTCCGCTACGCTGGGGAGCAAAAGCCCAGATCAGCCCCTGCAAGTCTCTCCTGCCCCAAGGTGCTAGTCACTATAAGGGCTGCTACTCTTTATCTCTGCTGTTTGCAGGGAGAGCTAGGGCTGGCAGGGACCCAGGAAGTACAGAGCTACCCTCACTTTGTGGGAACCCAGCAGAGAAGACTGAGTTTACAGGACTCAGCCTTAAGTGGTGAAAACAACGAGGCCCACACACACGATGAGGCCCATATAACCGGAATGGCCTGAGAGCAGCATGGCAATACAGGAAGGGCTGCCTTGCCAGAGCAGAAGCCCCAACAACTATCTCCCAACGAGGACAGAAGACCCCTCCTCTGAGCTCAAGGACAGTCATAGCCCTGTCTGCCCTGGACACAGCTCTTACCTGAGCCACCTCCCTCAGGGACCAGGGCGGGCCATGCACCACGAGCAGCACCCCCACAGGCAGCCTAGAGGCAGATGCAGAGGCTAGGGCAGCTCCAGGGCTGCTCTGTGATCAGTCCACACCCACCCTCCCACAGCCCAGACCTACATGAGGGCCTACAGCAGCTCCAGCCAGCAAGATCAATAACTGAGAAAGGGAGCTGAAAGAAGTCCCTTTGTCCCTCCCCAATGTAGGCCCAGTGCCAGAACCTGGCAGCTAACCAGTAGATACGGCTTCTCCAAGCTCCCCTCAAGCCTAGCCAGGTTTCTGCCAGGGGTGACCATCAGGCCAAAGTCTAGGACCTGCTGTCCATATGCTGCTGAGCCAACTAAGATGTGGCCCCAAGCTGAGAAGGGCCACAAATGCAAACTCTACATCTGATTTCAGAGATTTTGAAGTGAGAAGCATAACTATCCCAATGATTTTTTAGGTTCAAATTAAAATACTTTTTGCATGTACTGAATTAAGAGTATTAGCATAGACCTAGCCAGTTTGACTCAGTAGATAAGGACACTGGCCTACAGACTGAAGAGTCCCGGGTTCAATTCAGTTAAGGGCATGTACCTCAGCTGCAGGCTCAATCCCTGGCCCTGGGTGGGGAACATGCAAGAGACACCCAATCGGTGTGTCTATCACATCAATCTCTCTCTCTCTCTCTCCCTTCTTCCCTCTTTCCCTCCCTCCCTCCCTCTCCATTTCTTCCACTCTCTTCCACTCTCTAAAAATCAATAGAAAAATACCCAAATATCCCTAGGTGCAGATTACCAAAAACAAAACAAACAAAAAAAGGGCACCAGCATCAATTTCACATTCTTCCGAATGTGGCTGCTGGAGAGTTCAAGAGGATAGATGGAGCTCATGCTGCATGTCTTTGGGCTCTGGCAGCTGGTCTAGACCTCTGCTCAGCAAACATTTTCTTAAAGAATTTTCTTCAAGGGTCATATAAGTAAATATTTTAGGATTTATGGGTCAAAGGGAAAAATGGAGGATGCTTTGTACTTACATAATCACCCCCCCAAAAATAAACAAACAAACAAAAACACCAACCACTGAAAGTGTAAAAAAGCCCCCAGTCTAAATCTCTCATGGCCAGAGGGTCGGCCTTTCAGTGCCTCCTGCCTGTCTGAGCTCCTCTCAGGACAAAAGCTGAGGGTGCCAGCCTGCAGGGCTCAGCCTACAAGGGGGTTCCTGGTGGGAGAGGGGACCCCAGGATGATGCCTGGCTCACCCACCTTCAACCTGCCCTCTCTGGGCCTCGACTTCCTGTGAGCAACACAAGGGAGTAGGCCAGGTGGTTCCTGCTAACAGAGAAGGAAGCTGGCTTCTGGAACCAGCTGGCCTGTGAATCTCAGGCAATGAGAAGAGTCTGGGAGGTGGCACAGAGGTGAGGACCAGATGGGGCCTAAGGAGGCAAACAGAAGGAGGATGCACACATACTCTCCACCAGCATCCTTAGCCCAAGGCACTTAGGAGGAGAGGCACTCCGGACTGTGGCTTCAGGATCAGAGTCCATCTTCTGCAGCACAGCCCAACTCCTCGGCCCTGAGCCCATGGCCCAGCAACAGGGTGGGAAGGCTTCTTCTCAGACCCCCCAGTGAAGGTCTCACCCAGACAGGTGTTTTACAGAGGACAGACAGACAGCTCCACTCCCAGACAGGCCAGCTCTACTGCAGATCTACACAACTGCCAACTAGTGTGGATAGCTCTCTGTCAACTACAGGCATGAGACAGACACCGGAGAGGAGGGGCTGGGCCAAGGAAACTAAGGGCGGCAGAGCTCACCAGGACATTACACTTAATCTGAGTCATTCCCATCGTGACCCGTCTCCTCGTCATCACTCTGGCTCGGCACACACCATGCGGCAAGGGAGAAGAAGAGAGGACACCATCAGTGCAGGGCAAAACAGGGGCAGCAGAGGGAAGCCGGCCCAGAGTCCTCAGGGTCCATGGATGCTCAGGGCCAGGGACTCCCACTGTTCTGCACAGCAAACCACAGACCAAGCCTCATCAGGGGGATCTGGGCCCCGAACGTACATGCCCAGATCACACTATGGAGGAACACGGGGCTCAAGCATATCTTTTGCCCCATCGTCCCTGGGCCCTGGCACTCCCAAAGTGCCAGTTTTCCTTCCCCCTTCGTAGTGAAGAACTGAACCTTGCCCTAACCGAGGTCTGGGCTTTGCACTTGGTCCCTGGTTACACTGGACAGTCAGACAATGTGATGGGAGGCAGGACCAACTGGCCAAGAGGGCTGGAGATTGCAATCAGGTATGTGGGTGATTAATCATCAATCAATCATGTCTATGTGACCGAGCCCAGTAAAATCTCTGGACGCAGAGGCTAAGGGAACATCCTGGTGGTCAATGCTCTGTTCAGGTTGCCACCCATCCTGACTCCATGAGCAGCACAAACAGAGAAGCCCTGCATCTGGCTGGTTCCCTGCCTCCAACCGAGCTCTCCCCGGTGCATCTGAATCCTCTCTCTGCACTTCCTGCAATAATTGTCACCGTGAGCATAACAGCGGTGAGTTCTGTGAATACTTCTGGCAAAGCAGTGGTTTGGAAGCCCCTGAACTTGCAGCTGGTGATGGACTTGGCAGCTCTTGTGTGGGCATTCCCCTGGCTGAGTTGCCCCACCCCTGCTCCTTGACAAGAGAGGCTACCATGAGCTGCAGGCTCTCATTTGGGGAACAGGTAAGTCCGCAGCAGTGACGTTCACTACCCTCAGGAGGTGCAGCACTGCCACAACCAGGCTGCACGTGGGTGTCCCCAAAGCACCCCCAGGCCAGCCCCAGTGGTTCCCCTGGCTTTCCAGAGGACCCAACCGCACTCCACATCCTCGGGAACTCCTGCCGCTGCCCCCATTCAGAAGTCACTGTGGCCACCACACTTCAGAGCCAGGTATTTTTAGAGAGAAATAGGGCTGCGTTTTCAATGACAAAGAAATTTGGGGTCATGTTAGGAGCTCCCTCATACACACATTCTTCTGCAGCGGAAAAGCCACCTGAGGGAAATGAAACCGGGTGGCTGCCCTGCTGAGCTCGGCTATGAAAACTTTTCAAGTTCAGAAATGAAAGCTTCTAAGAGTCCTGCAATTGCTCAGAGAGAGATGTGCCTTCTCATGAGGCTGGGGGATCGCAGGGAGGTGGGTTCACCTTCCATCCCAGATTCTGTGGGAAGCACGCCCCCAGCACCCAGCACCGTGACTCCTCCAGCCCTGGCGTGCCTGCCAGCATCGGAGGGAAACCGCACCAAACCCACTGTCCTGTCCTCAGCAGCAGGCCAGCCCACACCTGAACACCTAGCTGCAAACACTGAAGGGCAGGGTGGGGACTGCAGCACTCGGTGGGCCCTGGGTGTGGATAATCATGCTATGGTAAAAATGCTGGTGGAGAGCCAGCAGTCAGTGACTCTGCTCTTAGTCGCCAAGACCACACCTCCAAGCAAGACCCTAAAAGGTTCAAAGGTTGTTTCTGAGCAGGTGGTGGCCAGCCAGTCTGAAAAAGCCCTGGGAGCCCTGGGTTAATGTGTTTAGATAAAATCCTTGGCCAGTTTAGCTGAGTGGATAGAGCATCATTGAAGGGTCCCGGGTTCGATTCTGATCAAGAGCATATGCCTGGGTTGTGGGCTCAATCCCCAGTGGGGAGCGTGCAAGAGCCGGCCAATCCATGATTCTCATCATTGATGTTTCTCTCTCTCTCTCTCTCTCTTCCTTTCTCTCTGAAATCAATAAAAACATTATTGATTTTAAAAATCCTTCTGGCTCTGGACTTTTCCAAAACTCACTCAAAATGCCCTTTGGCAAACAACACCCTGAGCCTTCACCAGGGCTGCCACAGAGCCTGCCCCCATCTCCTGGAGTCTGCTAAGGCTGTTTAGGACCCGCCCCACCCCACCCCCCGCCGCCTCTCCCGAGTCCGCCTCAGAGTTGGCTACCACCTGGTTCAAAGGTCTACCTGCCAGGTACAGCCAGCCCAAGCCAATGCTAGGTTCTGTCTGTCTTGGAACCCCTAACCTCAGAAACAAACCCAGAGGAGATGCCCCTGGTCTCTCACCTCTGGGGAAGGCCAGCTGCTGCTCCCTGCCACAAGGCTAACTTGAAAGCAAATGGCATGGCAGTTCCACTTTGGCCCTGGCTGCACTGCCCTCCCCATGAGACAGAGAAGCCGGTACCCAGTAGGGAGTGATGTCAATTTATATAGGTACTGGCCAGGCCAGACCAAGATAATACTCAATGGACTCTAAAATAACAGAATCTGCAGGATCCACTTCTTTTACAAACCAAACTCAACTCCCAATTCAGGATGGGTGTGGCCAGCGCAGGTGCCACTCGGGCCCCACCCAGAAGCTTCTTGGTCCCAAATCTCCAGGAAAACAGCCCACAAATGGTGGCATCACTTAAAAGTACAGCCACACACTTCCAGGAGCAACTCTGCCTGTTAGAAGAGGGAGTCGGCGGAGAGAGTGGGTTGTGAAAGCCACAGAGACCTCTTGATCCACCACATCCTGCGGAGCATATATGTCTTTCCTTACAGGACTGTGCCTATGACACTGGTGAGACAATTACCGGATAATGAAGCAGCAGCACAGGTGAGCGAGTGCCAGGAAGCCTGCATAGCAGGGAGTACAATGAGAACAGCAAGAAACTATAAAGCTTGAAGGGAAAACCAACCCTACAAAGGGTGCCTTCCTTCCATTGGCAGGAGGCCGGAGTACGTAGGGCTGCTGCCTGCCCGCTGGCCCATTTCTCACCTTGGCTTTCTCGCTGGGCTCGCTGGTAGTGCCATACGGGGAGTTGTGCAGCTCCTTGGAGACCACACAGAGGAACTCGGCCTGGTCTTCACTCCCATAGTTGTAGGAAGAGCCAATGCTGACCAGCTGCAAGGAGAGGAGACAGGTGTGATGTGGGCAGAGCTACATATGCTCCAGGCTCAAGGCCAGCCCACCCACCAGGAAGGAAGCGCCAAAGGGTGAAAACCCGTGGCAAAGAGCCAACACAAGGGGAGATTAAGGGTCAGGTTTCAGCTAAGAGATTTTTAATGAAATTCTGAAAAATGAAGTCCCGACACATCCATATTCGGGGTCATACACGCCTATACCTACCACACGCGTAAACCTCATGCAGGACAGGCCTTCTCTGCAGGATGGTCAACAATTTCAGGGTTCCTGGGCCCACAGAACCCAGCATCTCTCCTAATTAAGTCTACCCCTATTCTGTGGGTCTCTTGAAATGATGGGTCTCACTGTAAAGTGCAATGCTACCTGACCACAGGGAGAGGGGAGCACAGTGTGAAGGACTGCAGGATGGGGGTGTCGTGCTCAGAGATGCTCTTGGAGCAGGCAGTAGAATTGGGGCATTTAGCACACCAGATGCTCCTTAACACAGGCCCAAAGCACATATGTGAGCGCACACACACACACACACACACACACACACACACACACACACGAGGACAAGCTCCCGTTCTGCTTGTTCTCGAGTGGTCACCAGGCCTTCCCAGGAGAAGCCGGGATGGAGCCTTCCCCCAGGGGCTATTAACAGAGAAGGGCTCTTAACCGAGAACACATATATTCTGGTGGCAGGAGGAAATGCTGGCAGAGGAGGGCCGTAGAGGATAGAGCTGTTTGAATCTCAAAGAGGATGCTCGGAAGCTGTGGCTTTGCATGTCTCAGTCTCAGACTGTCTGAGTCCACATTTTCGTGGGCTTCCAAGTCACTAACACAGCCATCCAGGGGCCAAGGGCCAACCTGCCCGCTCTAGCCTACCCCAGAGTTACCAAGGGCTTCTGTGCCCTTAGTGAATGTAAAATTAACCAAAGGAAAACCACTACAATTGTAGTAAGATCATCAATAGAATAATTATAGAGCTAACCAACACCTGGAAAGCCCCCAATCCCTGGCCTCCCTACGTATGACTCTGTACTCATAGGAGAGGCCAGAGATGAGAGGCAGCTCTGCATGCGAGGATGTAGGAAGGATAAGATGGGAGTGGTGGGTGCAGTGAGGGACGTTCAAGAGAGATAACGCCAGTGTGACCAGAGGAGGGAAAAGCACAGGAGGCCCATGGAAAAAGGGGGACACACTTTCCCTGTGTTTCTAGAAGTCTGTTCCAGGTTCACCCTCGCCCCTCAGGAGATGGGCCCTGCCACCATGGGACCACAGTGGTGCCTGGCCCTGGATGCAGAATGGGCGGTGGGTGTGCGGTCACTTATAACTGGTTCTGCATGGAGGCCATGTTCTCAAGAAGCCTGCAAGCCCCTCACTCAGAATCTTGTTTTGGCCTCGTTACTGACCACTAGGTAATCTGCTCCTTGTCCGCTGCAGCAGGTCCAGCCCCTGCTTCTGAGAGTAGAGCGTCTCCATTAATAAACATGGCTCTGGTTCTGGGCTTTTACTGGCATGAATAATGCTCGCAAAGAACAAACTAGGCGAAGGGAATAAGACTTGAGGAAAAGAGAGGACCCTGTTCTTTTCAATGGATTTAGGACCCACTCAGAGGAGCTAAGGACAAAGTCCCTAAGCTGATCACGGGGAGGAAGCTGCCCGTGAAAAGGCACAGAGGTGCACTCTCCCTCCCAGCAGGAGTCACAGAGGTACTTAGCTCTACTTGAGGGTGACCCAGTTCACAAATCCTGAACTGATGATTGCAGCTCCCATCTCCACAGCCCTTGTCCAGGCAGCACGCCAAGAGGCAACAGAAGGGGCAGTGGGAGGCAGCTGAGTGAGTCTCTGGCGGGATTTTGATGAGGCCTAAGCATAAGAAACAGATGCAGACCACAGGACCCTGCCTGGATTCCCCAGGGCAAGGGCAGGGCAGGACAAGCTGCAAAACCATCAGAGCAGGGACACACAGAGCAGCCCTGGTGGCTGGTGCCAGGTGGAGGGAGGGACACAAATGCCTACTGCACTGATCTTTAGTGACGGCTTAAGGGGACTCCACGCACTTTACAATGCAATCCATTATTTCAAAAGACCCAAAGAATACCAGTAGGCTTAATTAGGAGGGATGCTGGGTGACCATGTAATTTCTCACACTCTCTCTGGGGAGCACCTGCCCCACATGGCAGCTATCAACAGAGGAAAATCCAAGAGGCCAGAGGGGGCCTAGTGATCAGGGCAATCACTATGTGGGGCCGGGTCACAGGCTCACAACCAGTATCCTGGGCCGGGGGTCAAACAGGGTCACAAGCCCAAACCTCAGAGCCTCTGCCTAGAAAAGTGGAATAGCAACAATGAACTGATAGGAAAGGTGCTGGCCACTCAGAGAACACCCTGATGTGTTCTGAGGCCATAGGTCCTGAGTGCAGCGACAAGAGCAGCATCGGAAGTGCAGGGAGGGACTCAGGGCAGGAGAGAGGACCCAGCACTCAGCACATCAGTCCCAGTTGGTGGAAGAGCAGAGCTGAGGAGAGCGGAGGGGCACAGCCAGGCCAGCATCAGCAGCACCTTTCCAATCAAGGGCAGGAAAGGGGCTGGGGGCTGAAGAGCAGTCCCACTGGGAAGGCCATCGGTACCACCTCCAGCACAGAGGAGCCCGAGGCACCATCTGCTCAGCCGGCACAGGGACACCTGGGTGGACATGAGGTGGGACAGGAGGTTGGGCCAGGCCAGGATGTGGCCAGAATGTCAACCCCACACACATTAGACAAAAGACAGAAGCTCAAAGAACACTCCTCCCAAAAGAATGATCTAGAACCAGAATAACTGCATAATGAATGAGGGGGTGGGACAGAGGCACTCTTAAGAACAACTCCACCCTCCCTAGCAAAACACCCTCCCCACGAGGCACAGGCTGTTTTCGAGAGGTGCCAGTAAACCACATTTCCAGGAATCACAGGTGCCTCGTCATTTGTGATCCCGGGGCCAACCCTGAGGACCCAGGTGGGGGTCATTGTAATTAACAGGCTGACATCAATCAAGGCGGGGGTAGGATGGGGAGGGGGGGTGTGCATGTGCGCTTCACCTGCTCAAACTTCCAGCCATCGGACATGGTGGACACCATCTGCGTGAGCTCCTCCTCCTGGCACTGAAGTACGCGGTAAACATGCTTCACTGGCACCTGCAAGAACAAGGGCCACGGGTGAGACAGCTCCACATGCCCTACTGCTCCCGCCCCAGCCCCGCAATCTCGCGCGGGTTGCTGATTCTGGAGGAGACAGCACAACAGGAGACCCAGTGAGGCTGGCGTTTCTTTCCACCCTCAGGCTCAGGTCACGATGCCTTAAAGTGGCCCCAAACACAGATACCGAAACAAAACAGGCTGGAAGAGCTGCCATTTCCTTCTTCCCTTTCTGCCTCCAAATATAATTCAGTTTCGACATTCCAAAATAAAATGAGTCATGTTCCTCAAATGCCCAGAGCACCTGTGTCTCGATGTGAATGCATGAGGGTGTCCATCTTTGTTCTACAGGGGAACACACAAAGCCCCTGAACCCACCAGCTGGGGAGGGACTGACAGGAAGGCTTGAAAGCGATGCAGGACCAGCCCAGACCCTGCTCCTAGCAAAGCTTTCATTCACGCACAGCAGCTCAGACATGAACTGGCTTCCAAAAAATTGACATATCTTTTGAGCCAGCCACCACCCCTCCTTCTCTGAGCTCTGTTCCAGGCATCTCTGGTGCTGGGAGGCCGAGGGGGTCTGCTCTCATGGAGCTGCGGCCACCACTCACAATACGTGTGTAACCAAGGGGAAGGGGCCATAGGCATGCCAGGCTGTTCTCTGAGGTTAAAGCAGTGACTCACATAGAGACACTCCAGGGACAGGGTCACAGCCTAAAGCTCATTTCTTTAATTTGAGAAACAGTGAGTGGCCCTGGAGTACTACCTCTCCTGAGCCCTCTCATCCGCACATCGGCCCTGTGACAAGGGGCTCCTCTACCCACTATGCCACTCTGCAGGGGAAGACTGAGGCACACAGTGTGTACTGGTCCGGGTCACACAGCTCACTAAGTGGGGCTGCTGGGTGACGGAGGAAAGACCAGGGAGGGTGAGGAGGTGGCGAGGAACGGGGAAGCCTCTGGGGGGGAGAGAGCATAGACACTGGACTGGGCGTCCTGAGGATAGGCTGGACTGGGCTAGAGGAATTTACCCTTCAGGCCTGCCTCGGTGCCATTAGCACTAGAACAATTGCAGAGGAAGACGGTTATCAAGATAAGACAGCCAGATCTCAAGGCCTCGTGAGGAGGAGGAAGTGGAGGGAGCTCCACATTTGCACCAAGCCTTGGAAGCTTCCAGCACATTCGTCACTGGTCTCACCTGTGATGTTTTGCTGTCTCGTTCTCTAATTTTGTCCTTTACAAGTTTTATTAGTGAGGTGATATTGTAAAATTCCGCTTCCTCCAACACTCCTAGAATAAAGAAAAGTAACTATAATTTTCACCAAATCAAAAAAGAAACATTTCATTTGAGCCCTACTATGGACTCGTGGCTTATGCCTGACCCACTGAAGGCTCCTCAGCCCCTATCCTAACACCCAAAGGTCACTACGCAAACACGGCTGGCTCTCAGTAGGGCTCCCCAGGACCTGGCACGGAGGGCTCATGTGGAGAACCATGTGTTTACTGAACATATTCCTGTATGAATCCCTCCACGTGACCTGCTGGGTGCAAATTCACATACAGCTGGTTCATGCACAGGTCCACGAGTGTGGACTGGGAACTCCACGCTGGGCACGTGGATGGAACACAGGCATCTTTCCCCCATAGCCTGCATCTGTCTCTTTGGGCTGGCTCACTCTCCTCCCCCATGAGGGGCTCAGGCCTGGCCAGACGGCCTTGTGCAGGTCTCTGAGTCATTCAGCACGTCAGTTTCCCTAGTCAAGCGTTAAGCTGTGGCTGGTTGAGGGAGTAGCTCCTCACTCTAGGACTTGTTCCAATTTAGGAACTCCTTTTCCCCCAGAAGATGGCCATTTGAAATGTACCTTATTTAGGGACTTGAAATCTCTAAGAATTCTAAAAAACAAATTAGAGAGGCTCTGCTTCAGGGATTCCTCATGGGTATCCCAGAAGGTTCAGAGTGAGCCTGGTCATCCTGGCTAGACCTCACTCTGCACGGTAGCTCCCACTGGCAACACCATGAGCTCAGAGCCGTGGCCTCCAGCTGCTGGGCCCACTCAGGCGGCCTCCTAACAAGGTCCCCAGGTGAGGCGACAGAGGGTGAAGGCTGGGACAGGTAGTAGCCACCCAAAGAGAGGCAAAATCTAGTTTGTTTCTTCTCAGGATGACTTAGGCAACGGTCAACTCCTCCCTTCAGATCCATGGGTGGGGATTGAAGGGCATTACAAATGAGCATCTTCCGCGTTAGGACAAGTGCTTGGGCCTAAAGGGCACATTTTTCTTCCACCGGGGCATTGCATGCACTGTACTCGGAGGGCAACACCAGGAAATGGTGCTCACGTGGGTGTTGCTCCTGAAAACACTGTGTCTAAGGTCAGTAGGAAAGCAGGTGAGTGAGGCGAACTGGCAGGGCTTGGTCACATCAAATACCCCTTCCTAAGCAAACTGCATTGGGAAGAGGCTGTGAAATTTAGCTTCAGATTGCACAGCTGCCCACCCACAACATAAAGGGAGGGTACCCCAAACCATACAAGTGTGTGAGCAAGAAAAAGGGCTCCAGATAAGACATGGAGTAAGATGTGATGAGAGCTGAGGGAGGACAAAGTTCAGGACTGACGGTCAATCCAGGCCACAAGCAGAGCAGAGATGCCAGAGCCCACTCTGAGTCACAGCGCCCTGAACCTCTCCTGCCCTCCCTGGTGCGGGGAGCCAAGCCCAGACCAGAGCATGCAAACACCAGCCTTAGACCTGGTGCCCACAGGGCTGCATCTGGCATCCCTGCTCCTTGTTACCGAGTCGGAATGTATAATAATATGGCATTTGGACATGCAGACAGAACTCAGAGGTGATAATACAGTGGTGCCCTGGAAGGAGACCAGACCTGGGGTGACTGAGACAGAGGGACACCGGAGAGACTGGCATGGTGGGCACATTCCTAACATTCCACCCTCAGATTGTTAAGCCAACGCATCTCTGAGAATGGATGGTTTCCCAGGGAAGGAGTCCCCACCCTCACACATCACTAACTAGACACTTAGAAGAGGGAGCCCACAGATTTACCCACAGTCAGGGGGACCCTTGCAGCCAGGAAGTGGGGTTGCAGGAGCCTGGATCAAAGTCCCCAGGCCCTTCTGCTACAACAGTCCTGATAGGCCAGCCTGGCTCTAATGAGCCTTCACTTCTTGGAGGAGAAAAGGCAGGCTAAACAGCCCTCTCACCTCTCTGAGACCAGCATCTGCTGCCTCATGGGACACATTTGTGAGAAAGCAGGGGGGCAAGTGAGGGGACCTGCGTACCTTGGACTTCTGCAGGGGGCAAGGGCACTCAAGATGCCAGCCAGGGGCACAGAGTCTGTTCAGGCCCAGAGGGGTCCAGCTGTCATCTTCACCAGATCCCAGTTTCAACTCACCTTCCTCTGCAAGGTCTTTGTTAATGACCAGCTTTCCATGTCTCAGGTAATTCAACACAGGCCCAAAATAGGTGGGATCTCTGTCGATTAAATAGGCACCTGTTTCATCCTGCAAAGAACAAAGCAACGTGAATCCTGGACAAGATAGTAGTGGCCCCACAGCTAACCCAAAACCAGATCAATATTCATGGCACTTCAGTGAAACCCCAAGCAGTGTTGTATGCCTCCTGCTCTGCAGCCTCCAACCCCTATCTGTCACCATGTCAAGTCTAAGCCAAGTTAAAATTGTTTTGTAATTAGGTAACCTTCCTTTAGCTATTGTGAGGCAAGGCAATTATGTATTGAGCCTCTTTCCTAACAGGATCAAAGATTTCTAAAGAAAAGCTGATCGCCAGAACCATTTTGGCTCAGTGGGTAGAGCGTTGGCCTGCAGACCTAAAGGTCCCAGATTCAGTTATGATCAAGGGCACATCCATTGGTTGCAGGCTCCTCCTTGGCCCAGGCCTTGGTTGGGGCTCCTGCAGGAGGCAACCAATCAATGTGTTTCTCTCCCATCAATGTTTTTCTCTCTTTCATTCTCTAAAAATCAATGGAAAAATATCCTCGATGTGAGGATTAACAAAGGAAGAAAAAAAGCTGATCCTTTTTCATTTTAGAAACCATCCCACAAGAGTGACTACAGACTGTCCTTAGTGGAAAGCTCTTAAAGGCAGGGCTGACACTGGTGAGTCCACTTCTGAAGGACACCAAAACGCAGCCAGTGCTTGCCCTTCTCATTTTGGGGTTACTCTTTGAGCGAGGGTGCAGGACTGAGTGTCAGGGCGATGGCCTGGGTCAGAGGCACAAGAAACAGAACCTCATTTTCCAGAGGTTCAGTGACTGCTGGTCACCAAGGAAGCTTCGCCCATTGGGTAGTGGTCCCAGAGTCCAAGCTGTCTATAAAACAGACCATCAGGAGGACAGAAGATGGCAGCATGGGTAAACGCCTGTACTCACCACCTCCCACACCACATCAAAATTACAACTAAAATACAGAACAATCATCACCCAGAACAGCAGGAAAGCTGGCTGAATGAAGTCCTACAGCTGCAGAAGAAAGCACACTGAGACTGGCAGAAGATGCGAACCGGCTGGCCCGGCACCCACGTGTGCCGCTTTTTAATCAGGGAGGGAGATCGTCTCTGTGGAGGCCTCCCAGAAGAGCAAGGGGTCCCAGCCCCACACCAGACCCCCAGCCCAGAGTTCCAGAGCTGGGAAAAGAAGTATGAACTACAGGCTGTAAAAACCAGTACGGATTGGGGCTCAGTGACACAGAGGCTGCTGGAGACCCAGCTATTCCTCTTAAAAAGCTGGAACCACGCCGAAACCGGTTTGGCTCAATGGATAGAGCGTTGGCTTGGGGACTGAAGGGTCCCAGGTTCGATTCCGGTCAAGGGCATGTACCTTGGTTGCGGGCATATCCCCACTAGGGGGTGTGCAAGAGGCAGCTGATCGATGACTCTCTCTCATCGATGTTTCTAACTCTCTCCCTTCTTCTCTGTACAAAAATCAATAAAATATATTTAAAAAAAAAAAAAAAAAGAGCTGGAACCACGAAATGAACTAACCAGGTGTACCGGTTAAGAATGCAGATTTTTTTTCAATAGATGAGTTATACATATATTGGTATATATGCAATTTGATTTGCATGTTATTTTGTTGTATTGACAGCGAGCTTCAAAATTTCATATATCAAATTTGCTGAAGGTGTTAACATCATAGATATTTTTACGCCTAAACATGTTGAATTTTATGCCCAAAAAAGAGCATTTGCAGGAAGTTTTAATTCATTATTTTATTTTGAAGAAAAGTGCTGCTGAAAGTTATCGTATACTTCGGGAAGCTTATGGTGAACATGCTCCATCTCAAGATACTTGTGAACACTGCTTTAAACACTTTAAAAGTGATGATTTCCATGTGAAAAACAAAGAACGTCCGGAGTTCAAACGAAAAGAAATTGAAGACCAACAATTACAAGCATTATTGGATGAAGATGCGTGTCAAAACTCAAAAACAACTTGCAGAAAGATTAAACGTTGCTCAGCAAACAATTTCCCATCGTTTACAATGGGGAAGATTTTAAAGGAAGGAAAATAGGTGCCACATCAACTGAATGAAAGACAAATGGAAAACCAAAAAGTCATTAGTAAAATGTTGTTTCAACGACACGAAAATCTTTTTTGCATTGAATTGTGACTGGCAATGAAAAGTGGATTTATTTTGCCAAGACCGGTTTGGCTCAGTGGATAGAGCGTCGGCTTGGGGACTGAAAGGTCCCGGGTTCGATTCCGAGCAAGGGTATGTACCTTGGTTGCGGGCATATCCCCAGTAGGGGGTATACAAGAGGCAGCTGATCGATGTCTATCTCTCATCAATGTTTCTAACTCTCTATCTCTCTCCCTTTCTCTCTGTACAAAATCAATAAAATATATTTTTTTAAAAAGAAGAAAAAAAAAAGAAAAATGGATTTATTTTGAGAATCCCAAATGCACAAAATCATGGGTTGATCCAGATCAACCAGCAACATCGACTGCAAGGCCAAATCACCTCGGAAAAAAGACCATGTTCTGTGCTTGGTGGGATCAGGAAGGTAGTGGTATATTGAGCTTCTAAATCCAGGTGAAACAGTTAATAATGGTTGCTACCGGCAACAAATAATCAATTTGAACCATGCTTTGATCATGAAACGACCAGAATGGGCCAGAAGACACAGCAAAGTAATTTTACTTCATGATGATGCATGCACCATCACACACTTCAAAATCGCCTCATGCAATTTACAATCCCTCAAATTGTGTGTAACGACTTTTGCATATGAATGGCCTGTCCTTGCTCAGGCTAAAATCACTCAAAACAAGCTGCAGCTGAGTCAGAGAGCCATCAATCATCATAATAAAAGGCTAGTTGCAAAGAGTCATCACATCAGGACACTGTAACAACCAATCAGCAGGGACCTGAGGCTGTGTGGCGCTGGGCCTGGTGACCTGAGGGCACCTGGTCGGGCTTAATGGGGAACCTGAGGCCACACTCCCAATGCTCCCAACCCGGCAGGGCTTGACAGGGGACCTGAGGCCGAGCATTCCCTGCCTGGTGGGGCTTGACAGGGGTGGGGCCCACCGGGTCAGGGTCCCGCCCAAAGAAGTGGAGCCAGCCAAGTCTCAGTCTGGTGCCGATTTCAAGGCATATGAGGATGAGCAGGAACTTGTCTCTGGGTCCTATGGTGTGGCCCAGACTCTGACAGGAGGAAGATTTTTTTTAAAAAAATATATTTAATTGATTTTGTACGGAGAGGAAGGGAGATAGAGTTAGAAACATTGATGAGAGAGAGCCACTGATCAGCTGCCTCCTGCACACCCCCCACTGGGAACACGCCCACAACCAAGGTACATGCCCTTGACCGGAACCGAACCCGGGACCCTTCAGTCCCCAAGCTGACGCTCTATCCATTGAGCCAAAACGGTTTCGGCAGGAGGAAGATTTTCATATGCATTTTACTAATTTTCTTTATTCTCTGACACTTCTGTTATAGAGAAAGGGCAAATACCAATATTAAAATATTTCCTCCAATTAATTTCCTTTTAATGTGCATGAATTTCGTGCACTGGGTCACTAGTATATCAATAAATGGCCTAAGACCCAACACCAGCACCAGCCTACCTTGCTTCACAGCTGGGCCTCATCTGGGTACTTCCAAACCCAATACAAAGAGGAGGAATCTGCCGGGACGGGTTTGGCTCAATGGATAGAGTGTCAGCTTGGGGACTGAAGGGACCCGGGTTCGATTCTGGTCAAGGGCATGTACCTTGGTTGCGGGCATATCCCCGGTAGGGGATGTGCAAGAGGCAACTGATTGATGACTTTCTCTCATCGATGTTTCTAACTCTCTATCTCTCTCCCTTCCTCTCTGTACAAAATCAATAAAATATATATTTAAAAAAAAAAAAAAAAAAAAAAGAGGAGGAATCTGCAGATCTCTCTGTAGCTCCTGCTGGATGGCCCCAGGCAGTGGCTGACTTTGCACCTCGCTGGAGCCAGTGCACCCAGTGGTCAGTATCAGATTACACTAGATTACAACTCTACCCACCAATAAACAACACACTCAAGGGACAAACTCAGTGAACACCAAAGCCCCACTGAAGTAAGTCTTGCACAGCAGTTCTCACACTGTAGTCGCAGCTGGTCCTCACAGCCAGTTAGCCTGGTGGTCAAGTCCTCCCAGTGACACCAACGGCAATCAAGTCTCAACTACAACAAGACTGTGCCCACAAAGGGGTGCACTTAGAGCTCCCAGCTCAGGTAACTGAGGAGGCTGAGCCACTGGGCCCCATAAAACACCTCTTACATAAGGCCACTCTACCAACTCAATGAGACATAGCAGCTCTACCAATACTATTACATAGAAACAAACACAGAAAGCAGCCAAAATGCGGAGACAAAGAAACGTGTCACAAATGAAAGAAAGAAAACTACGGAATACAGAGTTCAAAACCAGAGTTAAAAGGTTACTCAAGAATCTTATAGAAACCTCCACACAAAAAAAAAAAAAAAAAAAAAAAAAAAAAAAAAAAAAAATGGAAAAGCACACTGAAATAAAGAATATACAAGGACTCAACAGTTGAGAATTCTGAGAATGAAATCAACAATTTGAAATTTTATCCCCATGGATGAAAAGAGCTGAACCATGACATTTGCACTCACCAAGCTCAGAAGTTATTCATTAGCTCACTGCCACCTCACAGACAGCTGGTAGAAGGTTATGTAGGAAAGATCAGAGGGAACAGGGCTCATCTCCGCCCTCAAGACGCCCCAAGGAGCCTCCCTTGTCACAAGGTGCTTAGGACTCAGGGCCAGCCTCAGTATGGTCAGATCCTGGACTCAAGGCCACACAAGCCACAACCGAGGCATTGCAATTGGAGGGGGACATGGCAGAAGGAAGGACTTTTGGGTTGTGTTTTATTTTTTAGAGAGAAGATGGGGGGGGGGGGGGGGTAAAGGAAGAGGGAGAGAAAGAGAAGTTGGTTCACACCCCGACCAAGGATCAAATCTGTAACCTGAGTATGTGCCCTGTCT